GGGTGAGGGGAGGAAGACAGTGTGTAGTGTGTTTGACCTCTCTGGGTCACCGTACTGGCTCTTCCTGTCCATGTGTCCACCCTGAGTTGCCTGTGACATATCTTTAAGGAGTGTCAGTATGTGTGTGAATGTTAGATATAAGTGCTTAAGTATAGATTTGGGAAAAGAAATACTGTATAACTGTGTGTAATTGGGTGAATGAGAATGAAAGGGTTTTGAGCACTTAAAACTGAGGAGAAAGATGCTATATAGGTACCAGTCCATTTACCATTTATAAGTAAATTCAAGTATATTGGGTATTCACTTAAAAAGTAGTTGAAGTCTGCTGAAGTATGTTTTTTAGTCTCCAGCATGAACTTGCAAAAATAGGGTTGGATGACTGACATGGCTTTCTTTGTTTGTACTTAGAATTTCATGTTTATACATTAAAATATTCAACATACACACACATACTGCTGGCAGATTGACACTAGTGTATGATTTATGTCATTTGCTTATTTAATCATTGAGCAAAATTTTAATACAATCTGTCGTTTCCCTGTTTCATCACATACAGCCAAGAGTGAGAAGGAAGAGGAGTCAGGAATCCTGTTTCTGAAACCAGAGAATGAATGAGTGAATTTAAGTTCTGTCTGAGCTGCCACATCTTAATACAAACTGTCTGACACTGGTTTTCAGTGGCCTGTAAGGAAATCTATCATCAGCTCACAAATTCATCTTTAAATATTTGTCAGGGCTTTGTTTTCTCACTCTTCGGCTTCACATTTAATTAAACAGCCATTCTTATTTGTTTAATGAATTAAGATTTAACAAATGCAACCTGCTTGCCTATCCAAATTTATTGCGTTGTTTGAATAACAAAAGATGCACTGAGTGACAGGTAGTGCAATAGAGGATGGGCTTCGGTTTTCACTGTCAAAAAAGGGTGTGGATCAGTGACGATACAAAAATAGGAGCGTTGTAATTACATTTCATGAGTTTAAATCTTCTTTGATAGACAGCCTTCACAACCAATTAGCAGGGTTTAAATGCTCGCCCATTGATTTATTAGCCAATAGTAATGCATGGAATTCCGAGGTGGGCGGGCTTACCACGTTCAGTGCCAAGGCTTGTCCGTTTGGGAGCTCCGGCAACAGATGGTGGCAGTGGCGTCTACCTACGGCACAAATCTGACAGGGAGGAGACTCAAATGGGGGTGTCCGAAATTGTGAATAGAGTTGGTTGTCTAACGATGGACCGGAAGAAGACTTTGTCAGTGCAGCTCCATTGATAATTTCTTGGCTAGTCTTTTAGAATTTTATCTTTTTTTTCTTTGTTTTCCAAAGAAGGCCGCAAAAGCCTCGAACTGGATTTGTCGACACACTGGGCTCAGTTGCAAGAGGGCATCTCTGGGATTGCTCGGAAAGTCTCGTAAAATATGTCTGCTGGAATGTGACATTTTGAAGACGTAACACGGTCATTTTGAAGAGACTGTTTTATTTACTTGGTACCACAAAGTTGAATTGATGAGGAGCAGAGAAAAGTTAACGAACCGAGCTAACTAGTTAGCTAACATGCTATAATGCTAGTTGGCTACTTAGCACCGAAACTCTGGCATGTTGAATGAATGAATGGACCAGCTGCTTTAAACTAAGAGCGGCTTTTGTTAGGGCGAGAATATATCGACTGTTACATACGCCCAGTCTGACTTTCCACTAAAAGGCAAAGCTTTTGGCTGTTTGGTCTTCGGCTGCTGCTCTACTTAGCCACAAATGGACAGGAATGCAGTTCCTGGGAGTTGGTGGAGAGCGGCGTTTTAGGACGCAAAGATAATGTGCTTGTACTGAGTGCAGCCTGGTAATGTTTATGAGGCCGAGGGAGGCTAACCTCAGCTAGCTACATATATTTGCACTACTTGGATTTGGCTGCTATCGTGTGAAGCTTCCGCTCAGTTTGGAATGGGGAATACGGTGTCATGCTGCGTGTCTCCGGAGTCGAGCCCCAAACTGCCATCGAGACTGCCGGCAGAGCGGCTGGAGGAGTTCCAGACCAGCACCGAAGTGAGCGACGACACTGTGCCCTACCTGCAGCACATAAGCGACAGAGAGGTCCCTGATGGTAAGAGCCTGCCAGACATCCAGCACTTAACGATTCCTTTATAGCTTTAACTCCCGTTTTACTTTTCAGTATCTGGGCCTGTGAAACACTACACCCATATTTGTTTGTTTACAGGGAGGCTCATCCTAATCCACTCACTGGCACAGTGCAGAATGATCTTTGTGTGACTCCCAAGCACACACGCAAACTTAGATGACTGTATACAGGCTACATCATGTATGCACACACTTCTGTTAATATTGACCCACGGGATGAATCGAAAGCGAAAGATCATCCAAGAACTAAGTAATAATAGTGTTTCACAACTGTAGGGACAACATGCACACACCACACCCACTTTGGTTATTGCCTAGTTACACATCTGTATTTATTACCATGCCAGTGGCAAAACTGGCCTTTTTAATTAGGACATTCTTGGCACCATTTATCCACTGCATATATTGATCATATTGGCATTACATACAAAAGTTAGACATCAAATGTGAAAACAAGCTTTTTGATATCTTGGTTACTTGGAATCAATTTCTGCAATCTACTGTGTGGGGAAACTTGAATAGGTAAAAATAAAGAAACTGAGACACACATACAAAAAAAATACCCAAATGGAAACTGTGTTTAGTATTTTTTTTTTTTGCATGACATTTTTATGTTCACGCATGAAATTTACATATTCCTTAGGAAATAACTTCATCTTAATGTGTCTTTAAGCAGGTAGTTGTTGAACACAATGTAACAGAATAAAAAGTACATATTAAGTGTTGTACCCCTCTTAGTTTTGATGCCCACACTGTAATTTCATGCTGTGGTACAGACCCCGATCAGGAAAGTATCTCAGATATTTCTGTGTGATGTAGACCCAAGCTCAGTCCTTATGTCGCCACTCTTTATTGATTCCCCAGCTTGCACAGTTTATTCCATTTATGAGGTTATGGACAGTTGAGAGTGCAGTTTGTGAGACCAGCTGTTGGCAGGGTGAAAGTGGGAGTGGGAGGGGGGGATCAGGCCAGCAATCTGTCGTGCATTCCTTATGGTACTCCCTTAACAAATGCTTCTATCACCTAATCCCTTGTATTTTATGTAATGTGCCGTCTGCATGAATTTGGAGAAAACGGATTTCTAAGTTGTGGACGTCTATGAACCAGTGCCAGCAAATCAAACTAATGACACTTGTGCTCTGTTTAATGTCTAAGTTGTTTTGAAAACCAGAGGTTTTGTTTTAAATGTAGTGAAAAGTTTTAACATAGTGCTTGTGTCCTTGATAGTCTCTGTATTTGCACAGTAAATTGAAAAAGTAACTGGACAGTAATGCCGTTGCATTTGCTAATAGTACTCGGGCAAATTGGATTTAAGGAGTAAAGGTCATTGTAATTGTAATGCTTTAATTGAAATTTTGCACACAATCCACCTGTCAGGCAACAAGATTACATTTAGTTCTTCTAAGTCAGATGTGTTGGAGGCTTTAAACCTCCAACACATAAGCACAAACAGGTTCCCAGTCTCTCTAATCTGTTCTGAGCTTCATGTCTTGTTTGTCTTTAAAAGATTAAAAGACTGTCTTTATTACATTATTCTCCACTATTTATGATGATGATGATTTACATAAATACACTGTGTGATGGTTTTGTTAGCTCACAACTTTATGGTTTTTCTTTGGATTTATTAATGCAGAAACAGGAGCTAAATGCTCCACACCAGCCACTAATAATGAACATTTAAATGCTTTTCTTGCTTTTGTTGTATCAGAGCTGGCCTTGGAGTCTAATCCATCGGACCACGCCCGAGCAAGCACCATCTTCCTTAGCAAGTCCCAGACAGACGGTGAGCAATCATAACATGACACTCACACAGCAGTGATTCACACAAACTGTCTTCATCTAAATCCCAGTTAACAGAAGACATGCACACATCTTTTCACTTGAGCAAATGTTTGAAATTAAGTGGTCTTTAACCTGCCAGCTCCCCTAGTTGTGAGATGTTCGGCTACACCCTCAGAGAACAGCACCGGTAACTGTTGGGTGAAATTACAGCAAACAAGTGTTCCTCAATGCCCTTCATGCTGCACACTCTATCCTGGCTGAGACCTTAGTTATAGGTCCTGTTGTTATAGCTGCTGCTCTGCAGATACATAAGTGTCTTTTAAAAATTCATCACTTTCTTCACTGTAGAGTTTAAGACTAAGTTGTATCATTTAAAAAACCAAGTTGGCGATTACTTGAACGGGTCTCAGAAGATTTAGAACTTTATAAGGAAAATACAAAATAAATCACTTTTAATGGTGCATTATGAGTTATGTGTCCAAGACATAGTTGAATAAGTATATATGGTATTATATTTACAGAAAAATATCTAAACAAATGTAAATAAACTCATCTATCAACTATAATTTATTGTACATGATTCTTGAGTGTGAAAAGGCTGTTAAGTGCTGTGGTATTACAATTAGTCTTCTGTGATTGATGCTGCTTTTAGTCTTTGTTGAACATTTTAATTCTTTTGCAGTGCGAGACAAGAGGAAAAGCAACCACATAAACCATGTCAGTCATGTAAGTGTTTTGAAAATTTACATTAAATTTGTGCTTTGATTTTTTTTTTAAATATTAAATCACACTAAGCTTGGTTTTTAATATCCTAATGGTGACTTTAATATAACTAATTAAATGTAACTTATGAACTTAATTTATGGGCTATTAGCTTGTACATTTCATATTGTAGAGGGCTTCATTTGCGTTTATTGCCAGTGAATGAATCACTTTCAGCGAGGAAAACATTTAAACAAAGATGATCCACAAACATTGTTAAAACAAAACAATTATAACACAGAGCTTTAAAAAATTGGAAATGTAGGAAGCATGCGTGACCGTCTGTCCCCTGAGCACCAGTTAATTGTGTGTTGTATTTTTTTGTTTTTGTTTTTTTAAATGTGTGAAGGTGTCCCCTGGTCCACTCTCAAAGAAATACAGCTCCTGTTCAACCATCTTCATAGACGACAGCACCGTCAGCCAGCCAAACCTCAAAAGCACAATCAAATGGTGAGAATGTCTCTCAGAAACACAAACACACAGGGCTGTGTTGTCCAAAGGTCCCTCCCTCAAAAAAAAGTCCTGTTACATCAGAGCATAGTAATCCTGGAGTGTTAGAAAACAGATGCGTGACTAAAGCTCATGTTGTTTCCCCTCGTTTAGGACAATAATCTGTAATGACATGAGTCCAGTGAATGTGGATCATTATATCAGGATTATCTGAGTGTGATTAAATGAAGCCGTCTCGCTGAATGTGTCAGATATTTTGTCACACTATAAGCTCTAATACACATGCACACATGATGCTAGTGTCACACTGAGGTTGTAGCTATTAAACTAATCGTTTTTTTTTTTCTTTCTCTTTCAGTGTCACTTTAGCAATATACTACCACATCAAAAACAGGTATGTGTAAATGTTGGATTTGATTACTATCGTGTAACTTTTGGCAGATTATTGTATTAAAACTAGTGTGCCTGTGAAGTATATTGACTGATGTATTGCTTGTGCTGTAGGGACTCGGACAGGTCACTGGACATCTTTGATGAGAAGTTGCACCCCTTGTCGGTGAGCATGTTAATGAAATTAACCAGCTCTCCAGCTCAATAATGGTGGTAGACTCACATCGTTCATGTTACCAT